TTCCAGTCTGTCCACCAGCATCTCCAAATATGCTCCCCTCACTCTATTTCTGCCCCACAGGCCTTCTCCTTGCCCTTCCCTTTTCCTTTGCCTGCAAAACCCTTACCAAGACCTCTACACAGCTTGTCCTCACCTCCTGCAGCCCTCTGCCCACATACCACCTCCTTGAAGAGGTCCACCCTGACCACCCTATCTCAAAGAGCCACACCTCTCCCCAGCACTCCAGTAGCTCCCTGCCGTTTCATTTTTTTCCCATAGCACTTATCACAATCTGACCCAGGTATTATATATCACATATAACAGATATCATAGTTTATTTTTTTATTGGTTCCTTCTTTAGGCTATAGAGCTCCAAGAGGGCAAGGACTTTGTCTTGTTCACCACTCTATTCCCAGCACTTAGAACAGTACCTGGTATATAGCAGGTGCTTCATAAATGTCCGCTGAATGAATAACTGCAGATTAAATGAATGACTGCCATGTCATTATGGCTTCAAGGGACTTCAGGACCCCCTTGCTGTCTGGCCACGTGCTCCATGAGCAAACCTTTGTTCCACAGGGAGCAAAGCCCAGGCTAATGCACTAATCGTTGCCAGCAGTTTCTGAGCATTTAACGATGGAACAAGCCCTTTGCTGAACCCTTACACATTACCTCATTAAACCTTGAAACAACCCAAGAAGCGGGTGGGTACAATTATGGTCCCTAGTTTACAACGGATGAGGGATTATTTGCCTTATCAAGGTCACATATAAGAAGTAGTAGAGTCTGGATTTAAACTGAGGTCATTTGAATCTAGAGTCCGTGCTCTTAACCATTATGCCAAGAATATAGTTTCCCAGAGGGGAAATCCAGGGCCTGATGTTCACTTCCAGTAGGTCACTAACTCATTCCAGAACTTCTCTGTCATGCAGGGCTTCTTAGGTGACATAGAGTGCAGTATCCAGGCCTAGGCATAGAGAGGGCATCAGAGGGAGGGCCCCCAAATCCCAACTGCCTAATTTTCTCCCCATTTTGGGGTTCCCAGATCCTGAGAGCCTGGCAGGAATTCCATGTCAGATCGTCTGCCACTAATTGGCTTAGCAAACCATGCTTATCTGGGCGAAGCTGGGGCCCAGTGAGTTCAAGATTAGGAAAAGCAGGATTCATGGCTTACTGCTCTGCTGCCTACAGGGCCAGGGGGACAGGGTTAGGACTTTAATTGGCTTGAGAACCCTGGGCGGTTTAACAGCTCAGGAATTTTAAAGGGAAGGGAGGGATGAAGATGCAGGTTGGTGTCCAGGACACAGCTAGCTTCGTGCCCCGCCGGAGGATCTGTTTGCTGTTCTCTCAGACGGTCAACCTCTCTGTGCAAAAAGACATTGTTCTGACATCTTCCAAAGTAGCCAGTGTGTGGTGTAAAAGATAGAGCTAGGTTTGGGACTGATCACCTTTCCTCACTTCCTCAGTGGGTGACTTTTGGACAAAGTTACTTGACTTCTCTCAGTCTCACTTCCTTATCTGATAAATTGGTATAACAATAGTCACCAGGGGGAGGGTTTCAGAGTAACATGAGATCACATGCCTGAAACACTCCCATGCGGCCTGTGGGGACACGGTAGGTGTGCAGTGTCTGTGTATGCTTTTTCCTCTTCTCTCTCTTCAGAGTCTCATTTTATGTTTAAATTAGTAATAAAATATTTTCTGTGAAAAGACCTTAGCAATTTGAAGAGCTAAACCAGAGGTTACAAAGAAGACAGGCTAATAAATATGTTTCCTTTGGTTGACACTATTTTTAAACATCTTAATTAGTAGTCAAATTTTGGAGAGTTCACGGAAAAATCTCAATTTCCCATTTCTCTTGAGAAATCAAGACTGGGTCCACGATTTCTCATGGCATGATCAGCTAGAGCTTCCCTTTGCCTCAGACACTACTTGCCCCTGAATGTCCTCTTGTCTGACACCCGTTGTATCTTATGGTCTGTTACCTGCCTGAGTCTTCAAAGCATTTGAATTTTTAATCCAGCATTTTACAAGTCTAAGAAGTTGAAAAATATCTTCATGATTATAATTATTTTATTCAGAATTGAGGAAATGGGATCAGGAGGTGAGTGGCTGCCTAGCCTCCTAGGTATGATTCTGGAGGACTCAATCACACATCTCCTTCCTCATTACCCCAGGCCCCACCACTCAGAACATCTGTGGGAACATCTCAAGTGGTAAGCAAATGTGCTGGGTCAACATTGCTTAATTTCTAGGAATGCCAGCCCCTGCAGCTTCTCTATACCTTCTCTGGATTTTCCCTCCATTTGTCCAGGCCCTTAGCCATTTTAGAATCCAAAGATTTTGGGGGAAAGGGCCCAGAGGCTTTTGCTTTGGCAATAAACCCAGAGTCAGAATTTCAGGAATGGGAAACTCTTAAGGTCATCATATCGAATCTCATTTCACACACAGGGTAACTGAAATTACCCAAAGATGGAAAGAGCCTTGCCCAAGGTCACCCAGGAAACTATAGTCACAAACTAGGATAAAGGTGTCAGCCTCCTGACCAGATCACTCCCCAATCCAGCCTTTTCCCCATAATACACACTGTTTCCATCCTCACCCACATAGTTCAACTCCCTGCCCCTCTTTTCACATTCTTATCTCAGTGCAACAGAAGCCCTGACTTTCTATCATACTGGAATCTTGGAAACTCAGATTCATACTTCTTTAAGATTGAGGGACACTTTAGTGGCATAATTACAAGGTGGATACATTGAACTCAGGCTTTAAAGGCAGAGAGCCTGGAGTATCAGCTCTTCAAGTTCCTAGCTGTGTGACCTTGGACAAGGATGCTCCCTCTCTGAGCCTCCATTCCCTCATCTGTCAAGTAGAAATTATAACGCTAACCACATGACAAGATGATTAGAAGGGGTACAGGAGATATAGCAGGTAAAAAGGCAGCCAGTAGGCTTGGCACAAAGTCAGTGTTTAATAAAATAATTGTTATAGAACTGTAAATTAGGGCTTTTAGGTCTAAGTGAAATAGTACAGATATGATCAAAGGGAAGGATGGACAAATTAGAGCACATAGACTCTTTCTAAATTGTTACAGGATTGATACTGCTAGATCCAATTTTTTCAAAGGGAAGCTATGACTCTGGGTTTTTAAAATACTATACAAGCCACACAAAACACTTCCACAAGCCACATTCAACCTAAGCGCTATTAGATTGTTATCCCTACAAACTTATCTCATCCCAGCTCCCTCATTTTGCAAATGGGAGATAGTAGAAATAGCTAGTCCTTTTAGCCATATCCAAGAAACCGTAGAGCTGAAGGGATCCTTAGCAATTCTAGCTACTCCCCTGAGACCCCACACCCATGGCCATTTTTGCCCCGTTTGAGGGAAACTCAGTTTACGCTTAACAAAGAAGAGAAGTATTAGTTTCTTGTAAGTGGATTCTGAATGGGGGGATAGCCAGTGAGTCAAAGGGCATCTGGCCCACTTAAGGCTGAAGGAAAAGGGGGATGAAGCTTGGCTACCAAGAATAGGAAGTTACCATTTCAGAATCTAAAAATATCTTTCACCATCTGTCCACTCGGGCACAGAATGATAAATGCAGATTAGTTCCTGGATGTACACATGAATATTTTTATGTGTCACGCTAATAATAATAACACCACCTTGTGTGGCTAGAGCTCCACCCCCCTTTTCCCCTAGGGTAAGCTAAGTGGAATATACACATCATCTTGGCAGGAATAGATAGGGAAACAAAGGCACAGAGATTCGACAACATAACAAGAGTGACACAGCAAGTGAGCAGCAGGGACAAACCCTAGGAGTCCTGTTTTCAACGCTCAGCCCCAAACTAAATCTTCTGAGTTAGGCAGAATGTGTTAACAAGTAGCAGAATAAATATAACAACAGCAGTAATCACTCTTTATATCTCTAGAGTGACTTTTTCCATGCTTTCCCCATGCTCTTAAAATGTTGTAGTCTACAGGGCCCACATGCAGACCTCTCACCTGACCATCCCAACAGGTAAGAATAATGCAATTATAAGACAATGAGATAAGAGGAGTAGGGATTCTCCCTCATTTCATAGGAGAGGAAACTGAGACTTGGAAGGAAGAGGGCAGCTTGCCTAAGATCATACAGTAAGCAAGTTCATTCTGTCAGAGCACGGAAGAGCCTAAGCTACTAAATAGAAATTCAGATTCAAGAGGAGCCCTAGGTTTATAATTACCCCTCTCTCCAGTTAACTTAGTGCAGCAGGCACCCTCAGTCCTGGCAGAGGAAGAAGACTGGAAGTGGGCAGCTTGAACAAAGCCTCAGTTTTGCATTACCAGTTTGGGATTAAAGGGCAGCCAGTGGCCATCTAATCTCAGATTCAAGATGCCAAATCCCCTTGGTCCTGTTGGAAGGGGAGGACACTTAGTTGGGGGAAAGGGGGTCATAGGAAGTAGAAGGAACCTGAGGTTTCCCCAGTTGGGTCCAGCATATCTTTCTCCAAAAAGCCCAAGAAGTTTAGGCGGGATATTCATTTAGCTGTCTCAAATACTTTGGCTCTCCTTGCAGATTGTGAATGAGCTGCAATTCTGAACTGAGCATCTTTGAGAGCAGGAAAGGACTTCTGAGATCTTTCCTGAGCCCAGGCTTGGCACTCAGGCAGAGAGGAGTGGGTTATGGCAGAATGGGGCCCTGTGGTCCTGTTTCAAGCTTCACATTTATCCTCATGAGCCCCGGATCCTCCCCACTCATGCACACCCCTGAGGATCTCTTTCTGTCCTTTCTTACCCCATCTCCTCCCCTCTCAAACGCCAGGTCAGACCAGATGGCACTGGGGTTGGTCAGGGCTTGGGGGCAGAGGTCAGGGAGCAGCCGACTGAGAAGAAATTGGAGCTGCAATGGGGTGGGGCGGGGCGGAGGTCAGGACAGGAGGGTAGCCCGGAAAGGTCAGATCAGGGCTGGGACGGCAGGTAGCCCTTCGCCACCCCCCGTCCTCAGGCTCAGCTCTCTCCACCTGCGCTTCTCCTACCTCCAGACCTGGCCCAGCTGCAGGAGGTGGACGAGGGTCTGCAGCAGCCAGATGCAGAGGCGGCAGCAGCGGCGGCGGTAGGCGCTGGCGGAG